CTGCGATCCTGGGAGCCCAGGATCGCCCGCCGTACCGCCACGACGCCAGCTCCGCCCTCTCTAGCCTAGTCTATTGTTGTTGTTCAAAGGCATGTTATGGGTCCACTGCTTTAAGAGGTAAAGTTGGTGGAGACTCGTGATTTGCAATCCCTTCAGTGTGGGATTCCCCAGGAATTTAGCCAGGCTCCTTTCTTATAGACCAGGGTCAGATCATCTGTGGCCCTCCAAATGTTGCTCAGCATCCAGCAACCCTAGGAAGCATGGGCAGTGTTGAGGTATGCTGCTCGCGGTAGCTCCAGAACATCTGGAACGTCACAGGTTGCCTCTCCTGATACAGATCTTGATCAACAATTCTGCTTTACCTCTTGCAATTTTTCAACGTTATTTTGTGGTTTTACCGTAAACATCTCGAGCAATAACCAAGCAGAACAATAATTCTAAAATACATTAAAGAAGGGAATAAAATAATTGCAATAGTCTCTCTTCCTCTTCCCAGGTTTCTTCCGAAGGTTCCGTCTTAAAGCCGTTCAGTCAAGCAAGGCTTGCAATATCCCTTCCATGTTTACCTCCGTAGTGCCTGTAGACTCTTCCACTAAGGAGACTTTGCCTTTAGCGCTTCAAGTTCGCAGCACAGGTAGGACTACTGGGAGGGGATGCGTATATTCTACTCTTAGGGAGAAGTGAAATGCCTGGGTGAGAAATTCCTCCATAAGTATTGAAGCAGAATCTTGAGTATTATGTTATTCCAGAATGTTTGAAATTGGATGCACTTTTTTTTCATTCATTTTCTTTCTGAAGAGACAAAACAATTCCCATTTACCAAGACTCAGTGTTACTGGAGCCTAGAATAAAATAAGCCATTTCTCCTAATAGCTGTGGCACTAACAATGGCAGAAAGCAGATAAATGCTTCCAGAATGTTGGTACTTTCCAGTAGTTACCGTTTCCCCAATTTTTGCAATTAGTCGCATCACAAGATGCAAGCATGAGATGGGTGACTATATAAATTTAATAAATAAATGAAAATAAACTTGATCGATCCTGCAATTCAATAATTTTAGACACTGGGCTTAGCAAGCTTACAGATTTGTTTCTTCAAAATGCTAAGCTAGGCTTTTTTTTTCTTGTATTTTTGACTCTCACTTGATCAATTTGTTAAAAAGGCCTAGACTTGGGTTTGAACTTTTGCTCTGACAATGCTACTATACAATACCAGCCTTTGACTGAAGAAGAGAGGATGGCTTTTGACACCCAGCACTGTGTGAATAACAAGTACTACAAAACCAGTATTGTTTAAGACAAAAGTTCACCACTGAAATGGCAGTACGGTGATTGGAAAGACATCTAACCATCTTGAATGTGCTTTCTCCCAGAGGGCATAAACAACCATCAGAAAGGGTCCCGCTTAGTCAATCAGCGCCATCAGAGTTGTTCACTAAGTCTGGGGCAGAGACAGGACTCAGAGGAGTTGGACGATGCTCTTGTTCCTGCAGGTACAAACCTCACTTCACCTGTTTAATTTGAATCCTGACCTTTCCTACATAGGCCAACATATGTGAACATGCCTGGGGAAAAAACTACCAAGGGAGTGAATCAGAACATCACAGCATCTTATCTCACATTGCCAGGCAGAAACATTTAGGGATGCTTTACAGGGTTGTAGTTTCTTTGGTTGGAAGAGCAGGGAGGATGGGGCGTCTCCTTTGCAATACTTTATTTACAAATGTACAAGAACAACGCAACAGAAGTAATTAGGTATTCCTGCATCATGTTCCCAGGGAGCACTGACTGAAGCCTCAAACCAAGGTACATGTCCACAGTAGGGAACTCTAGCTCGACTCACAGACTTCTCTGCCTGGTCAGACTGCAAACATCCTGTTTCTCTTGCAAACACATGTTCTACAAAGCAAACTATGCGTATATGTTCAAGACAGCCCCATTAAAGGCCTTTGGAGGGTCATTTCTCAAATATCTGGCTCCCATTAGGTGACTTAAAACAAAACAAAACAAAACAAAACAAAACAAAACAAAACAGGAGTGGTTGTCCCATTCCCAGTAATCAAACAACCCTAATTCACAATGCTCTGCCAATAGTGGACCTGCGGGTTGAATCACGTAAGTGTTTGAAAGGTGAGAACCTTGTGAGAAATGGAGAGTGATGTTGGGTATCTGTCATCAAGCAGATTTTTTTTTATTCTCTGATCATGATTTCAGTAGCCAGCATTTATTGTTTCTATCCATTCTGTATTTTCTGGCAGATAAACATGGGTGTTTCAGAGTTAGCATGAGAAAGTAGAGTCAACAGTCTGTCAATCTACATATTGTACTAAGCCTTCATATGGTTTGTTTCATTCCAGTTTAGAGTGTTGTCTGAATGCATCTTAGGAATATTTTTGAATGAACATCAGTTAAACAAACTATGGCTTAACACAATATATAATCTCTCATTCCCAGTCCAGCCTTCCTTCGTATTGCATCCCAAGGCAATGTAGAGAGCCAGTTTGGTCTAATGGTGAAGGCATCAGGCTAGAAACTGGGAGACTGTGAATTCTAGTCCTGCCTTAGGCACAAAGCCAGCTGGGCAACCTTGGGCCAGTCACTCCATCTCAGCTCTAGGAAGGAGGCAATGGCAAACCACTTCCAAAAAACCTTGCCAAGAAAGCTGCAGGGTCTTGTCAACCCTGATTTGAAGGTACCAAAAATAATAATAAAAAAAGTCAGTGGAACATTTTTCTCAGCTTGACTATATTAAGGCTCAAAACAACTGGCCTCCCAACTCAAATAAGGGGCCCATGAGAGTCCAGCCAAACACAGAATACAAAAACATTGTAGCTTTCAGTAAACCATAACCAAGCAAACTATGGCTTACCAGTCACCTTCTTTGTGGCTCCCTGATCCACTTCTGATTCCTAATTGCTGAAAATCTGTTCTTACTCACTATGTAAAAGCAGGAAACCATGAAAACTGTACCCCCACCCCAACTCAAACAGCACTCAGTTTTCATCACTGCCTTCCTACCAAAAGGTTACCCACCTCTGGCTTAGTACAATGAGTGAGTCCAATCTCTCTGTCTTAATAAGAACTAGAAAGGTTAGTAGTCACCCCAGCTAATGGACAATACCTGAGTGTGGTTGCGTTCCCATATTGACTGATTTCTGAATTAATTCATTTTTTAGATTCACCTAATGCAGTACATAATAAATTAAATAGATGGGGTAGGTTTGCTCAGCACGCTAAGCCACACCAACCCCCCCCCCCCCCCCACC